GAATTGGATGAGGAAGAAGCTCGAGGGCTCTTTAGTTGGCATGCCTTCAAAAGAGGTTATCCTGATCAAGAATATCTTGACCTCTCAAAACGTGTAATTCGTTACTGTCAAGGCTTGCCACTAGCACTTCGAGTTGTAGGGTCTTTTTTGATTAAAAGATCCATAGCGGAGTGGGAAAGCCATTTGGAGAAATTGGAAAGAAGTCCTGATGGAAAAATTCAAAAAATACTCAGAATAAGCTATGACGGGCTACCTGATGATACAAAGAGAGAGATATTCCTTGATATATCTTGTTTCTTTATAGGAATGGACAAGGACTATGTAACACAAATATTAGATGGATGTGGCTTTTTTGCAACGATAGGAATCAGTGTCCTCATTGAGCGATGCCTTTTAACTGTTAGTGAGCAAAAGAAGTTGATGATGCATGATTTGCTTCAAGACATGGGAAGAGAGATCGTGCGTGAAAATGCCCGCGGTCACCCTGAAAAATTTAGTAGATTGTGGAAACGTGAAGACATAACAAATGTATTGAGCGATGAATCTGTAAGTACTTTCCCAGTAAAGTTTTTGGAATGCATCATGCAAGAGAAGCATATGTATCCTTTGTCTATAATAAATTAAAATGTCCTTTTCCATTTCTTTTTTGTTTTGTTTAGTTCAAGCAATAGTCTAAATCAAAGTAAAAGAAGGGATTCTCACACATCCACACTACCAAGGTGCCATTTGAACCTGAGACCTTAATCTGCAAGTTTAGACCATTTTTCACTTCGCTAGACTCCATTGCCATTTCTTATATTATATCCTTTAATTTCAAAGCTCAATTAGTGATAACCAACAAAAAAATATGTGCTTTGACTGCAAACACAAACTACAGGGTGTAACACGGTCCAATACTATTAATTATACTTTTTGGTTAATACATACACGGATTTTCACGTTTGTAAATCATTTTTCTAACTCGGTAGCTTTTGTTAACAGGGAACTGAAGAAATTGAAGGAGTTGCTCTAAATTGGACTAGATTCAGTGCACAAGCATTTACCAAGATGAAAAAACTGAGGTTACTCCACCTCAGCGGAGTAGAGCTCACTGGAGAGTACAAAGATTTTCCCAAAAAGTTAATATGGTTGTGCTGGCATTATTTTCCTTTAGAGTCCATACCAGATGACTTTCCTATGCAACCAAAACTAGTTGCTTTAGACCTGAAGTATAGCAAACTCAAAATAGTTTGGAAGGATTGCAAGGTATAATAATCTCAACCTAATTGTTGTTGGTTCCTTCCTTCTGGCTCTATACATATATTATAGTTCACCTTCTCTTCATTTTGGTTTAATTTCTGTATCAGAGACCTTCCTTTTGGATTTTAATTTACATTCTAATTTTGTTTTTGTGTAACAGTTGCATGAGAACTTGAAAATCCTTAATCTCAGCCATTCCCCGGGGCTAACAAAATCACCGGACTTTTCAAAACTCCCAAATCTCGAGGAATTGATATTGGAATACTGTATGAGTTTGTCTGAGGTTCACGCATCCATCGGGCATCTTGGAAGACTTTCTTTGGTAAATCTTGAAGGCTGCATAATGCTTAAGGATCTCCCCCTGAATTTCTATAAATCCAATTCTATTGAAACTCTTCTACTTAATAAATGTTGGAGATTTGAAAAGTTGGCTGAGGGCTTAGGGGACATGGTATCATTGGGAACTCTGAAAGCGGATGAGACAGCCATAAGACAAATACCATCTTCCATATTAAAATTGAAGAAACTGAAAGCTTTATCTTTATGTCGTGTGAATGGGTCGCCATCAACAAATCTTTTGCCTCCTTCGTTGCCAAGTTTAAGCTCTTTAAGAGAATTAGCTCTTGCAGGCTGCAGTTTAGCTGATGATGCATTCCCCAAGGATCTCGGTAGCCTAATTTCCTTAGAAAATTTAGATCTTGCAAACAATGACTTTTCCAGCCTGCCAAGCCTCATTCATCTTTCACAGCTTCAATATTTGTCTTTAGATGAGTGCAAAAATCTTTGTGCAATTCCAGATTTACCAACAAATTTGAAAGTCTTAAAAGCAGATGGCTGCATTGCATTGGAAAAAATGCCAGATTTTTCAGAAATGTCAAATATAAGAGAATTGTATCTAAGTGATTCGGGCAAACTCACTGAGATTCCAGGCCTGGATAAGTCGTTAAACTCCGTGACAAGGATTCATATGGAAAAGTGCACTAATCTCACTGCCGATTTTAGGAAGAACATCCTACAGGTCAATCCTTCTCTCTCTCTCTCTCTCTCTCTCTCTCTCTCTCTCTCTCTCTCACACACACACACACACACATACATCTTTCTCTTTCTATCGCATGCAATAAGAATGTATTTCTTATAGAAATTTGGCTCTACATGGTATAGGGATGGACTTCTTGCGGATATGGTGGCATTTTTCTCAGTGGAAATGATATTCCTGATTGGTTCCACTGTGTCGATGACGATGATATTGTGTATTTCACTGTGCCTAAAAGTGTTGGTCGTAATTTTAAAGGGTTGACTTTGTCCTTCGTTTTCTTTTCTGCTTTAGAACGGTTCAGTCTTGGTTCTCGTATTCTCATTAGCATTAAAAACATGACCGAGGGTACTGAGCTTGACGCTAGGATCACACCCGTTTCCAGTTGTCCATCTGGGGGTTATATTTGGCAGGGACAGTTATCAAATGACGAGCTCAAATTGCAAGAAGGTAATAAAGTCTTGATTGAAATAATAGTGGGCAAATGGGTGATGGTGGAGAAAACAGGTGTTAGTCTGGTATGGGACAAATTTATGAACGAAAATATGATTGCTTACCATCTTTGTGCGTATGAACAACGCCTATCTCAAAATCTGGTCAATGATGATGACATCATTCATTTCGAATGTAATAATCGCTTAACAAAATCACCGGACTTTTCAAAATTCCCAAATCTCGAGAAGTTGATATTGAAAGGTTGGAAGTACTTGTATAAGGTTCGCTCATCCATTGGGGATCTTGGAAGACTTTCTTTGGTAAAAATTGAAGACTCTGAAATGCTAGAGGATCTCCCACTGAATTTCTATAAATCCAAGTCTATTGAAACTCTTCTACTTAATGGTTGTTCAAGTTTTGAAAAGTTGGCTGAGGGCTTAGGGGACATGGTATCATTGACAACTCTGGAAGCGAATTACACAGCCATAAGACAAATACCATCTTCCATATTAAAATTGAAGAAGTTGAGAATTTTATCTCTATCTGGTGAGAATTTTGAAATTCCATCTTTTACCCCTTTCGTTGCATGGCTTAAACTCTTTAATAGAGTTATGTCTTGCAGGCTGCAGGTTAACTGAGGATGCAATCCCTAAGGATCTATGTAGCCTAATTTCCTTAGAACATCTGCTTCTTGGAGCCAATAATTTTCGTAGTCTGCCAAGCCTCGCTGGTCTTTCAAAGCTCAAGGTCTTGTGTCTAAATGCATGCAGAACACTTCTTGCAATCCCAGATTTACCAACCAATTTGTATGTTCTGAAAGCAAATGACTGCCCAGAATTGGAAACAATTCCAGATTTTTCAAAAATGTCGAATATGAGAGAATTGTATCTCAGTGATTCGTTCAAACTCACTGAGGTTCCAGGCTTGGATAAGTCATTAAACTCCATGACAATGATTCATATGGAAGGCTGCACCAATCTGACTGCCGATTTTAGGAACAACATCCTACAGGTCTCTCTCTCTCTCTCTCTCTCTCTCTCTCTCTCACACACACACACACACACATACATCTTTCTCTTTCTATAGCTGCAGATGTGGCCCATGTAATGATATATGCAAGCATGTATAAGATTAAGACTGTCTTGCTTCTGGTGTGCAGAGATGGACTTCTTGCGGATTTGGTGGAATTTATTTGAATGGAATTTATGATATTCCTGAGTGGTTCAAAATCGTCAATGATGTGAACTCTATTGTCTTTGTTAAAGTTCCTCAAAGAATCATGGGTCGTGATTTAAAAGGGTTGACTATATGCTTCGTTTACTCTTCAGACAGGCAAAAACTCGTAGATTCTGAAGTTCCTATTTGCATTATAGTTAGAAATCTTACCAAACGAATTGCTTTGCACACCAAGATAGCATTTGCCTCCTCAAGAACTTACAGAAGACCAGAAGACCATTTGTTTTGGTGGAGACCTGAAGACCATTATCTTTGGCAGAGACAATTGTCAAACGGGCCTGAAGACCATTATCTTTGGCAGGGACAATTGTCAAACGATGTGCTCCATTTGGAAGGCAGTGATCGCGTATCGATTTTTGTAATGCCTGATGTTGATTTTGTGAGAATGAAGATAGGGGTTCATCTAGAATGGGACAAAGTCATGAAGGAAAATATGGATAATCCGGATCGTCATTTGTATGATTGGGAAACAAATTGGGATTTTTCAGGGGGAGTTGATGACACATTTTTCAGGGGCAGTGTTATACATGAACAATTAGCAATGGAAACATATCTGGATTTTTTTGGGGGAACTGATATTGAGGCAGGACAGAGCCATGACGCATCTGTTCCCGGTGATCAAATGAGTGCTATAGTTGAAGAATCAGCAGTGGAAGACGAACCTATGGCCGTGGCGGATGATGGAGCAGGACGGAGCCATGATGCATTTGTTCGCACTCATCAATCGAGTGTTGTGGATGAACAATTAGCAGTGGATGGGTGTTTCGGGCATCTTAAAAGTTTTTTATTTAATCTTTTCTTCAATTGTGTTTCCCATCCACGTTGATTGTGATTGGTTGCCAAAGAATTTAGTTGACGGGAATGATTTAAGATTGAATTTCCCTATTTTATTTTGGCCAAAGAATTTAATTGCAAAGGAAAGGGTCGCAACCTTGAATTGAATTCTACACATTGCCGGAAGCCAAATAATTTTTTTTTTTTTTTTTCCCTTCCCTTTTCTTGTTTTAGCAAAAGAAACTTTACACATTGCCTGGAACCAAATTCTGCATTCTCTCACTTGCAAAGAATCCCTTCCACAGTAATATCAGAAACAAAAAGAATGTAACAGTGGACCAATCATCACCTTCTTGCAGCTCTGTGTAAGCTACAATATATTACTTTCCGTTTCTGTTACGGAACACTAGTTGCTGCTGGTGGTGATCTGAATCCAATACGTTCAGTTTCATTAAACCTCTGCCAATGAGATAATCTACTAGGGTTGGCATGGAAGGGCAGGGTATGGCTCTTGAGTAACCTTTTTCTGATTGATCCTAGCATGTGCTTCCTTTGAACAATCAGGATAACATTACAGGTTAGTGCGCTTTAAGTAGACCAACACCCCAATGCTGGTTAAAACAGCAGCACTTGCCAAAACTCCAGTGTGGAGAGACGTCCATCCCGTTTCCTGGGCCGTTGTTGTACCTGACTGCGATATGGTTCTGTGGCCAGAATCAGAGAAGTCCAGATGCAACCTTAGAACCTGAGAGAGAGAGAGAGAGAGAGAGAGAGAGAGAGAGAAGGAAATAAATCATAGAGCGGAGATTAATTACACATCAAAACTTCACGTTAACAATCTGACCCTATCATCAAAACTCCCCTAAAACCTCCATTTATTGGATATTAGACGAGGGGAGTGATGATCAAGAGTTTGCAAGACAACTATTGTGCAAAATGCGCAAAAATAGAAAAACAAATGTGTTAGAAATAAAATAAAAGAAACAAAGAAGCAACGTTCGTTGTACCTTCAGTCCCGCTCCTCGTGCATGGCTGACTGCACTAACAAGATCATCATCAGTTGCAAGTAGAACTCTATCACCTTCATCATCTTCAAACTGGTGGAACAAATTACTGAAGTAAACACAATCTGAAGTTTTACAGCAGAATAAAATCATATAACACCAAAAATAGCTGAGAGTTTTTACCAATATATGAGGACGATCATGATCATTAGCAGCACCAATCCTTTGCATGACAGCAGATAACAGCTCATCTAAATTTTCCATGCCTGAAGAGAACAGAGAAAACAAATTTAAGTAGGTCATTGTGGGTTGAATTCTATAGTATTGTTGTAAACAGCTGGGCATGTAAGCACAAAAACATTAACCATGTCCATCATCATTGTCACACCTCTCACCACACTGACTGCTTATCTATCCCCAGTCAAACCCAATCTGCTGATCACCCCCAGTAGCTACACTTATATGACGAAACCATGTGTCAGTATACAACAAATTCTGTGCCACAACTAATACCAACATCACCGAGCTTACTTCTGCATACCACTGTCATATAAGATGCCATTAATGTCCCCATCCCAAATATAATCATAAATACAACTCACTAATACTCTCCCCGTTCCCCCAAAAGTCAATGAGCTATATTGGTCTAGAGGTACAATGAGAATTCAAGATCCCAGTTTAGAGCCTCTAAAATAGGAGGGGAGAAGTATACCCCCTATTTCGCAGTTTATACCTAGCTATCTATCCACTGCAAAACAAAAATATACTCCCCAAAATTTATAAATAAATCAAAACTTCGTCTTCCCAATGTATCACCCCTTTAATAATCAGTAAAATGAAAAGAAAAACATGAAGAAAAAAAGCTGCAAGTAAAAACAATTGTAAAAATGTTTCTTTCCAAAGTTAGTCCGACTTCCATAAGTTCAATAAGTCCACTTAAGGAACCGAAAGTCCTTTCTCATTGTCTTCCGGTATTGCATGATCATATTTGTTACTTCTTATAATTTGCATTGTTAATTTTCTAATTACTTCCATCTCAGCCCCCATATTGTATTTTAATTCATTCACAATCCCTTAGCATTCGATTTAATTTTACAAGTTCACTAATCTAGTTCTTTGAGTTTTCATGCATTTTAGCAAATCCTTAGGCTGTCCTACATCACAATCACTCCACAAAATGTTCATTGGCTAGGAGTGATATATAGGTAACAAGGATTGACCAAAAAAGGAAACCGAGGAAAGTCATATTCAAGCATCCTTGCAATGAAATGTTGCCTTCGACTGCCACTTACCACAATTGATCCGATGCATTCGACCCCTGATATCTTCAAACTTGAACGCAAATGAATTTCCAAGACCAAGAGAAGGATAAGGGAACTTTCCATCTGTCCCATCAGAAGCCATTAGTGCAGACAATTCACTGCAAAAAAATCCCCTAGGTATAAGTTAATGAGCTAACCAGGTTACCAGGAAACTGAATAATCAAGGAAGTAATACGGAATATGCATTTGAGTAAATGGATTTTCGTATCCCAATCAGTCTCACATCAACAAAATTTAAGTGACGTTCTTGGAAAATTTTGCAAACCTTTGAGTATCACAATCATCAGGTGGCTCCAAAGCAAGTGCTGAATCCCAGAATTTTTGCATCATTGTGTTTGCCATAGTGTTAGCAGTTCCTGAGCTACTTTCAACCTGGGAAAGAAAAACAAAACAAAATAACTACTTAATCAACTCATCCTTGGATTTTACAAAGTTGAAGAGGAGAATAACACAAATCCAACTGTGCTCTAGTAGCATCACCAAAGAAGCAAATAAAATACTAATGTATACACATAAGAAGCGTGTTAGCGAAGACAACTAATCTGTCCATCATTTAGCACCATAACTATAAGCATGAAATGGAAGTTAGAACATAAGGTTCATGGAGTTGACATAATAATATCATGGTAATTTGAAGCTTCAAGCTCTGCATTTTGAACAGAAGATACTGAATCATCAGCAATGTATTACTAAATTGTATCAGACAAGGGAAGCCATCTTTAGTGCTACAATTAGAAAATTCAATTTTCATCTACAATAATCAAACTCATTAAAACCCTTGGACAGACAGGCTTTCACCTCCACTTATTTTTCCTTCATGAATGTCCTCTCCTTTCATATCTTGACCATAAGGCCATATGAAAATTGAATGTATCAATACCCATCATCACCAATGCCACCACAGAAAGTCTTTTGGTGTCAATGTACTAAACAATTTTCATGTGAGAAACAAACAAAATTATTGACCTGGCCTGGATATTTATCCATACAGTCTGCCCTGGCAAGTCACCTAATTTTCTATTCTTATAGACCCATTTTCTGCACTAAACCAAGTAAGTGGGTTATCAGTTGTATGCATTCTACAAAGTACAAATACCACACAGTAAAAAGTTTTGTAACCCTTTCCTAGACTCACCAATAACTTGTACATGGGAACCTCTAACTCCTAATCAAATTTTTACTAGTAATTAAAACATGTGTTAAATCACAACATATGCAAAAAAAGTACTATAATCTCATTAATGTATATCATTTCATCCTCTTCTCCAACTTAATAAATGACATGAATAACATAAAAATATAATTAAATTCAATCACATTCCCTGAACCCTATAACCTAAATACAATTAGACACAACTTACCCATTTTTTTAAAGCTCCTCTTGACCATATCATGAGCTATTTGAACAAAAGCACAGTACCAAAAGGCAAAATGTTAAAATAAAAAAATTCTAATTTAAGTATTGCTAGAGAACCAATTCACTTTGGCAAGTGGGGAAGCATTTAATTGGCTTTGGCAAAGTTGGCTGGTTTTAAGGTAGACCTGACGCCATTTCAGGCTGATAAAAAGGCTTTCTTATGTTGAATTTCAAAATAGGACAGAACCGATATCATATTATGGCGTCACATTCGAAAATGATTTCCTACTTTCCTTGGAGCAACTAAATCTTAAGTAAGATTCCATTCCAGGGTGACTGGATAGAAACTGAGGGTCTCCCATACTTGATATAATATAAGGAAATCTTTGAGAAAATCTTTGAAAGTGAAAGCAATATAAAATTGTTTTCAGTTTTCAGTTTTTAATTCATTATCTCTTCCATAGACCTTCCACCCTTCTTCATCCCCTCCTTTGTTTCCCCAATACCTCTAACCATTATATATATATATATATATATTGAAAAATAAAAACTGAAAACTAAATGATTACCAAATGGGCCCATCACTTAAAGTTCAATAAATTTCAACATCTAAATAAAAGATCAATAGCTTCATATCTAAATGAAAGAACGAAAACTCTAAAGTTGCTTCATTCCGATGAACAGAATGGGTAAATAGGGAAATGGGATGACTTTACCATTGAAATAGCTGCATGAGTTATCTGCAGAACATCCACACAAGCAGCAACACTTCCATCTGAACAATAGATGTCAAAATTTAAATCCATATATTAAAAATAGGTAGCTAAAGAAGTACTGATTACCTCTGTCTAAGACAGGAAGATGTAAGAACTTCCCTTCATGCATTATATGCAGTGCATCAAGGATTGTTGTCTCTAGCGTGGCACACTCAGGGTTTGGCGTCATTACCTTAGGAAACGTTGGAACAGCACAAGTTGGTTCAAGTTTGTTTAAGGAAGCTTATTTAACAAAAGGGAGTGAGCACAGTATTCTTAATACTACATATAGAACAATCAAACATTAAATGGTTTATCATAAACCTTTTCCACCAGAGTCAACTCAGGAGAGAGATTTTGTGCCACAACTCGCATAAGGATATCCTTTGAACTGCAGTCAGTCAAAAAGCAAACATTGTATGAAATTGCAAAAGAAGGCACGTTAGACAACATCAACAATAACATCTACTTGCAAAATGTTCATAAAACATATTACGAAAAGAACAATACGTTAGTATCCCCTGAATCTTGCTCCCTGTAACAATTATAGCTGAATTCATCCGAAACTCCCGCATCCTTTTTGCTGCAACATAGACAGGATCTGATGGGGAAACAATTGCAACCCTGAAAACATAGCGCTACGAGTTTGGGGATAGAATACAAACTTTAAACACAAATGAAAAATAACCAAGCCAAAAATTGCACCCTCCAACAAACAGGGTACAAGGCAAGTCAAGCTAAAGAACTGTACTTCGTATTTTCACCAATGATGGTTGCTAGGGAAGGCTTGAACATTCGCTCCCTCAGAGTTTCCAGAAAAGCATATGGAGCTGCAATACAGGATAATAAACAAAACAAAAGGTCATGTTCTAGCAGATGTGTTATATGTATGCAACCAAAGTATAATATAATATAATATATATATATATATAAGAAAATCAATTTTAAAAAAAGGATGTGTTGATATAGAGCATGTTCAAAATGAAATAGAGGCTTTTATTTACAAAAAATTTAATACAGAAAGAAACTTCGGGTCACACTCAAGTAATTCATTATAAATTCCAAACATTAATACAAACCAGATAAATTGGCTCCCCACTGGCGCTCCACTCCTTCAACTGCAGCAGCAATGGCACTCCCCTGCTCCGCTGCCTTCTCCATTCTTGATATAGCGTCATAGAGACATTTGGTGATATCTAATAAGGCAATAACTTCTCCATTCTCTACAACAGGGAGGTGCCTGAATTTACCTGTTAACAAAAGAAATCAACCACAGCACGTTTTATGCCCCCAATGCAACAATGCAAGTTCTTAGACAAACCCGCACACACACGCAATAAAAAAAAAATTACCAAAAAAGAAATCTTGTTAGATAAAGAAAGCTAACCTTGGACCATCTTCTGGAGAGCTTCAAGGGCTAATGAATCAGAGTTAACAAAAATAGGATTCCGCGTCATGATCTTTGATACAATTGTTTGCTCCGGTCTCAACCCCTCCGCAATGACTCTAGCCGAAATGTCCTGAAATTAAATACTATTAAGCAAAGTTAATAGTTTAAAAATCACAAAAAGAACCAAACCATCAGTTACAAAATGAACCTTGTCTGTCACAATTCCTGAAAGCAACGCATTTGCATCAGTTAAGAGCACAGCATCCACACGGCGAGCCGCCATCCTCCGACATGCATCGGATACTGTAGTCCCCTCCGGAATAGTTAGGGCTTTTGACAACCTTAGCTTCTTCACCGTCCTTTCCCCACCACCAGACCTTTCAAATATTTAAATTTAAACACACAAAAATATATCATTTTCGGTTGAAATATAGGCAAATTTTCTAGACACCAATTTTCTCAGGAAACCAATAAACATAAAAACCCTCTACATACATGAATAAAACAAAAAACAAAACAAAACCCAAAACTTTAAATCATTTCTAAAAAGGCAAATTTACCCAAACCATTTTCTCAGGAGGCAAACAAAAACGAGAAAAGGAGAGAACTTACGAAAGGGGGTGAGGAGGAGACGAGGGTTTGCTGGTGGTGCCATTAGAGGTTCCATTTTCGGGAGGGACCGATTTCTTAATCGCAGCGGAGGGACCCCGTTTCTGGCTCAGACTGGTCCTCCGGACACCCACTTGGTTGCTCATCTTTATTCTGAATGATTATTAGGGCTTCTCTGATTCTCTCTGTATCTTTATCTGGACTGCAAGAACCCTAATTAGTTTCAGTGATAGAGCGAGGTAAACAGAGAGACAAGGTTAGAGTTGTGGGTGGCTCCAACCCCTCCCTCCTTTTTGTTTCTGTGCTATTAAAATTTGGGTGAGACAGAGAGTTATCGTAATTTGTGATTGCCTGACGATTCCCACCGATTTTGACAGTTCAAATTAAACATTGAATTTAAAAGCATTTAGAAAAAATAAATAAAAATTATTGTAGCGTGTATTCAAATGATTTTAAACGTGTTTAAAAAAATTTAAAATTTTCAATAACGACGTATTTTGTAGTGGTTGGCCTGTAATGCCCTTATTTATATTCGAGATTGACACATACCATATTTGAGTGACAATGAAAGGGTAGAGGAAAATAGAGATCCATCAGGGGGGGTAGGCGAGTTGATGCTGGAGGGGGTTTGATGGAAAGACGGTCTTGCCGTCGGACCGTTTACTAATCAAAACAAATGTTAAAAATAAGAGGTGTGATTATAATAAAAGAATTCACTATTATACACGATATAGACACCTAAATTATATATAAAAAATTCCTAATAAAATAGACTTTAGAAACATGCACAAAGCTTATTTACAACATAACAAAGAGGTTTTTAACTTCGTATAAATTATAAAACTGTCATCGATTTCTTAAAACAAGCTCAAGTCCAAAACCTCGTTAAAAAAAAACTCAAAACACTCCATTAAGCATCAAAGTAATTTAATAATCAAACTTAAATTCAATAGGGATAGCTGTCATTTTTTGGTTTTTTTATTATATAAATTAAATGGTCTAGGGTTTATTTATATCATTAGTGCTAAAAATGGGTATGTGACTAAATATCTGTAACAACCCGGTCCTTAATTAATATTTAATTATTAATTTATTCCAATAAAAGACCATTATATCCTAAAATATTTAATAGTATAAAAGTGAACTTTTTAACCGGGAAGAAATTTTGGGATTTCAGTTATACCATTGCGTAGAGCGCAGCGAGATGAGTCCGTAGACACGTAGTGGACTCAAATCGGAGTTGTAACGAAGGAGTTATGATCAAAAGAAGTTCAGTGGCATAATCGTAAATATGTCGAAGTCCAGTTTTTAAAAAACCCAGAATTTCGTCAGTTTTGGGGGCAGCTCGACTAGCCATCTTCAAGGGGCGATTTCTCCCACCTCCGGTCACCGATTCAAGCAAGACCGGTCACGTTAGAACCACCACACTTCCCTCTTCCAGCCCCAGCCTTCGCTGCCTCGATCCGCCGCCGTAGTCGCCGTAATCAGACACGAAACATGCGGTGTTGGACAGATTTTTCTTAAACTTTCACCGGCCGTTTCTGTCCCCTCCGACCACCAAATCAGTCGAGTGAGGTATGGATTTCTAGCTATTTTTCATGCTCTAGCTTCTGGTTGGGTAGGATTTCAGAGATTTCAAGCGTAGATCGTTCGATTTTTAAGTTAGGTTTCAGCAGACTTTCGAGTCACTATTTCGGCCACTTCCGGCCAGTTTTTGGGGTAGGTCCAAGAACAAAAGTGGCTCCAAATAGGGTGTTATACTTAGGGTAGGAGTCTTGAGCCGTGGTTTAGAGTTTTTCCGGCGGAGTGTTACCGCTTTAGGCACCACGCGCTGCCGGCGCGTGTGGCGGCACGCGGGTATCAGGGTGGGGACCAGAGTTAGCCCTAGAATAATCTCCTAGTCCCCACGAGCGTGTAGGATTTTGCGGATCTTAATTCGGATAACGTTTGAACCCCGAACGGATCTCGCCTAGTGGGTGATTCCCGGGTTCAGTAGGTTTCAGGATCGTATCGCATTTGA